ACCGGGCTGCGAGGGCCATGGTTTGCGGCTACTGGCATAGCACACGCTTGCAGACCTTTCGACCTAGGAGGGCGACACGTGGTCCTGGGCCGTCACCCGTCGAGGTTAGGTAACCAACCAGTCTCAGACTGAGTCGAGAGACACTATCCATAGAGTACACACACTCTCCTCACATAGATGGGAGTGTCACAGATCGCTGGAGAAGGAGCCGCTTCGGCTAGGCGGACTGCGTGGACTGAGTTTGGCGTCAGTCGGCTCCCTTCCGAGCCACGGCGCTCAACGCACCGTATAGCAGTCGCAGACTCCAATAACACATGCAGTACGACGGTTAAGATGCGATACGCGGCGCAGCTGGCGCGTGGCATGTGTCAGTATGGTCTAGCACAACAGGTGTACAGTAGGTGGGCTAACTCATGAAATGTCAACCGAAATTCCGAAATGCGTTTTCGTCTCGACAAGATTAATTAAGTAGGGTTGTAAAACTATTCAGCCTGCAGCAAAATTCTATAGTAGTTCAGTTACCTCAGGATACCGGCTTTCGAAAGAACTTCCTTCCGGCCGCATGGGAAAACTATACTCCGTAAAAAAAGACTACTTATTTTGCATGCAATTTTCTCACTGATTTTCGATGCCCTTAAAAATTCAATTATATTTCATGGAAAACATGCATAGAACTATTAATTCTCCCGCTCATTCGGTAGAAAATTACGTCTTATTTCAATTTTATACTCGAAGGAAGGGTATTATTCGGTTTTCAAAAAACTGTTCCAATTCCCGAATAATTTTTAACCCGCTCTGCCGTCACACTTGCATTCAGGGTTTCCGAACTACAAGCCATGCATTTTCCCGCGTACGGAAAACCACACATTTCTTTACGGCATTAAGAGGAGACCGCATGGAGTTTATAAAATTTGGCAGTGGATTTGATCCATATTGCTAACTTTATAAGTCACATTGGCAAATACAGAGACATGACGTTTTATGAACGGCCATTTCACGGTATTAGAAAGTCTCACAATTAGAAACTTTTTAAAACCGAATTATGCCCCTCCTTTGAGTATAAGATTGAAAGAAGACGTAATTATCAACCGAATGAGCGAAAGAATTAATATTTTTGTGCATGCTATCCATGAAATATAATTGGGCATCGAAAATCAACGAGAAAAATGCATGCTACTCAAGTAGCCATTTTTTACAGAGTATATTTTTTGTATGCAGACGAAAAGAAGTTCGGTCGAAAGCCGGCATCCTGAAGTAACTGAATTATTATAGAATTATATTGCAGACTGACTTTTCGAAACGAAAACGCATTTCGGAATTTCGATTGACATTTTATGAGTTAGCTCACCTACTGTAGCCCCGCCTGGGTCGCCACCGTCACCATCAGGGCACCGCCGTTTTCTCAGTTACAAAAGTAGGCCAACGCATCGTTTGTAAATCAGAAGTGTGTTTGACGGTCGGTAGCCCCGCCGTCTGTCTTCACTTCTAGTCACTATTTCGTCAAAATACCTGTTTACTGGAACTGCCGGTAAGATGTGGTTTGATAGCTCTACCTAATGGACGCAATACTGTCTGGGTTGTGGTTAACGGTCAGGATTAGGGGTTAGGGTTTAGGATTAGGGGTTATAGTTGGGGGTTAGCGCAACTATTCCTCAATCACCCAAAGTACAACTGCGCATTCCCAATAGCTTTTCTTTTGCATACAACTACTTGACCTCGTTGCCTGTGCGTTTCCCCCCTCCCCTCCCCTTTAAAAAACCTCCTATTACCACCGTTCCCATATTAGAGGCTACTGGTGATTGTTTACTTTAGGTGGGGCTGAATAACCACATCCGACCGAATTGCCTCCCACGCGTCTTCTGATAAGACACAGCCTTGTGTGTCTCCATTCTGTTTGCCATAGACACGCACTGACAGGATTCTGATGGCTACTTCGGACAGCCGTCTCTCTCTCTCTGACTGCCCATATTACCTTCCCGATGCTGTAGGCAGCAACACAATTTGACTAGGTTGCAACGACAATGTCCCTGATCCAGTCCAATCCCACAACTGGTTTTCCCCTAGAACCCTCCCCTGTTCGCCCTCATCTAATATGCCTCACTTCACCCCGCCCCAGCCCGTCTCGCTTCCCGGTCATGCTGGCCGCCCTCCCTTACGTTTCACAGGATAGATTCCGGGGTCTTCCCGGGTTTCTTCCCGACGATGAATGGGCCTTTATAAACTGAACGGCTGTCATCCATATACTGCGATCGCTCGCTCGCACGCCGCTATGTTTTCTGGGCCTTGTCGGGGGGATTTTTGGCCCCTCGGTGGGTGATGGGATTTGCCTTGTCAGCGCAGGCGGCCAAGCATTAACCGCCCAACGAAAACGCGCACGCAGCTGGCATTAGTTTTATCTATTCACAGGGTTGCCTCTTACCAAGGGACTTCATTTTAACAGCCCGTTTTATTTGGTTGTTTAACCTAGAATTAGCTTTTCTCCCTCTACGGTTTCCACAATCATCCTCCTCACTGTTTTGCTAACTAATCAGTATTTCAATTAGGGTACGATGTTGTTGGGATGTTTTTTTTCGGTATTGAGCTACGATTGGGAGCCCTCGCAGATAGTTTACGCGTTGTGACGGTCAGTACATAATGGAAAAAGGTAGACTGGAGACAAGGCTGCGGTGGCAAGCAAACTTAGTTGATGGCGATTTATGGTCGCCATGTCACAATGCCGTCATTGGGCTTTGCAGCTTTTTATAAGACTTTCAGCGTGCCAGACCTCAGCCCACCGTACCCTGGTAACAATGTCGCTGCTCGTCCGCGACTGCTTATTCGTCAGACCTGGGTTTGCTTATTTCGCAGCTAATCTTCACTGAAGGTCGTCCCAGTATCCGCCACCTGCGGACGCTCCGGGTAGTCAGCAGCTAGGCTAACGAGCAACCCGTCTTCGCCGTCCACCTCAGGAGTTCAGTGTTACTGCCCTTGATCCGGCACCGTTGCCCCATTGGAAGCGTCGAAGAGGAGGTCAGTTCAAAATCTGGCTCGACACAGTTCGTCAAGACATGGAGGTGGTCCTTGGACCTTCGATATTCGGTCTCCGTCGTTGGCGAAGGGAATGATTTGAGCTGTCCAGATCTGCTGTCGCGGATCGTCACGCGTGAAGAGGTACAGTTCGTGACATCATCGAGGCCGGCCAGATCAGGCATGATCACAGCCGTATCAAGTACAATTACAAGTCTTTCCCCCTTGCCCGAACATGACTAGACGCCGTCAACCATCCACCCCCATATAACTGTTCTTTATTCATTTCGCTACTGTGACGTATACTACTGCGCCTGCCCGATGAGGAGTACTCGAAAAAGTGCGTTTATCGACCGACATCTCGGGCACAGCCACAAAACTTATCGATTATTTGTCGTTTGTCCACCATACCCACTCATCTGGTCGAGACACTCCTTTCCCGATGAGTATCTAAGCTTGGGCTCCCACGCGCCCTCCGGACATAATACGACGTTGAGAAAGACCACACGGGTAAATGCAGTTTGGTTTGTATCGTTTGCTTTCGGGGGTTGATACTTATCAGAGGTAACAATCGGGAGATGCCACCCAAAAAATCCGATTAACCGAAGCAGCCTGTCTTACGGGACAGGTGGTAATAGGAGTTTTATGGGTGGTGGCTGGTCGGGATGTACGATACTAGCCGACGGAAAGCCTTATTTGAACAGGTGAATGATCGAAGTTGGCCCGCTCTCCGTTCCGTTATTACAAAATGGGTCGTCAAAGGCAGTATAGTGGTAACGGGCGAGTGGAAGGCGTATAATCGTCTTCCCCCAGAAGGTTATCTACATTTCTCTGTTAACCACTCAAAGAACTTCAAGGACCATACAACCGGACGGCACACCATTGCCACTGAGGCATACTGGAGTACACTGAAAAGGAAACTCCACGAAGGAGGCCCTGCATGTGGTCGAGCTGTGTGGGCTCACCTAGACGAAGTAAAGTATCGTCTTTGGTTTGGCCTCAATGCCATGTCTTTGACGGATGCCTGGGAACTGTTCCTGTCCCATGTTATGCAGACTTATCCTATTTAAAAGTGATTTTGTTTTGTAATAACGTGCCATAATGCGGATATATGCCGTATATTCAGGTGTACGGGTTTAACGATGCGGAAGGTTGGTTAACAGCGACCATCGTCCATGTAACCTCCTGCGATGTTCGTTCGGTCAGCCCATGTTAGGCCGTCGCGGAAAGTCCATGTAGTGCGTGAAAGTAGGTCTGAAACCGCTGATATAGCCTGAAGGCGTTTGAGTCCACTGTTAAAGGCATTATTTCTAGATAACGTATTTTTTTGGGTGTCAGCTTCCGATTGTTACCTCAGACCCACGTAACTGTCGCGCGTTCTACTGGCATCCCGAATGTGATCGCAATGTCCATCTTTCCGACTGCTACTGCAGAAGGAAGTGCTGGGCTCGTTATTTCCATTTTATATCACTTTTTTCATGTAGTCCTTTTGAAACAGCTGTCAAAATTACAAAAAAATTGTGTGCTCACCTGTCGCGACAAAATGGGCCAATCGGTGTGCCATTGCAGGAGAGGTCAGAAGAAGAATCCGGTGCAATTCGATTTTGTTTCGGCTAAAAATACCGCTACTGAAAGCGTGGTTTTTCTCTCTCTGGCTCTTAATAATAGACGAAAGCATGCGGTTTCCGGCCTTAATGCAGCCTGAACTTGGGGTTGGAGATGTCAGCAGCTTGTTCCTAAGGCCACTGGAGTTTACGCCAAAGCCGCACTCGCGACGCGATTGGCAAGTCTGCACGTAGGGCTGGGAGGTGTGTAGACTGTAAGGTGAATTCCCGTCGGGGGAACTTTTTCGGAAAGTTGGTTTTTCCATCCACACTTCTCAGCCTCTTTCAAACAAGTATTTGACTTGTCCCCTCTTTTTCGAAGACAATGACGTTTTTCATTAAATGATTCTCATAACTGTTGCTCTTTTTTCTCCCACGTTTTTTAGCATCATGGGAGGCTGGAAGATGGAGGTGATCAAAGTGGGCGTGTATCTGGCTATTCCGCTAGGCATTCTCACCATGTCAAACATGCCGCGCTACTTGGAACGTAATCATGACGCCCAACGATTGAGTGTCTACGAGCAGACTGGGGTCAGTAAACAAATTGAATTCATCTCCTTTTATGCCAGTTTCAGGTGTTGCCTAGCTTAAATTTATTTTGCTTGTATGCGATCGTCACAGACTGGAGTGTTGCAAACAGTGCTTCGATTAACTGACGTTGATATCAACAGTCTGACCGCCGCGAACGACGATGTCAGCAGTGTGACACGCGATCTAGCAGGAGCTGCGGGTGGTGACTGGCGCGTGAATAAGTTTACGGTGTTAGTAGGCTTGCGCAGTATCTAGCGCACTCTCTCCTCCCCCATCTGGGCTCGGTGTCAAGAAGATCGAACGTGTGATCGGCGCAGTGATTGATAAAGCTAAACAGCCCGTCTCTTTGTGCCACACACGCATGGTACGTACCCGGCGGATCAGGTTTTCACATAAAAAAGTCAGGGGGCGACTTGAATCCCAACTAAATGCGAGTGCCATTAGGGCCGCATTAAGAAGGAACCATTACGGTCTGACTCTCCGCCCTGAGTGGAGGACTGAGTTATTCCGTCATTTGGTAGCCTTCCCAACCACGACTTTGGCTAGATCGCAGTTGGTAGCCAGGCTACGTATTACAGGTGGCTGGGGTGTTTGTTTACTGTGGGCTTCCATATTCACATCTGACCTATTTGGCCTCCGTTGTACGTGTGAGGTGAGGATTAGGATACCAGTTAATGGTTTTCGATTTTCGGGTTAGGGTTATGCCCTTAGGCTTAGGTTTTCAGGTTACGGTTAGGGTTTGAGCGTAGATTAGGTTTCAGTATTGCGGTTAGGTCATTCATTTACGGCTATGCCTAAGGTCTACAGTTACGTTTACGATTTCGGTTAGGGTTAGGGTAAGGGTTGATGTTAGGGTTAACGGTTGAAGTTTAAGTTAGAGGTTAGGGTTAGGGTTAAGGCTATGCTTATGGTTAAGGTCGTCGTCAGCTTCCCAATTGCTGCCTACCAACTGCGATCTAGCCACGACTTTTAGTGTGCCGTAATAGATACAAACGCGTCAGCTTATTTGTACTGAGGAATATGTGCTGAGTGCTGCGTGGACGCGGTACCCAAAGTCGGCCTCAGTCCTTCTTTCCTCTCCTGACAGTTCGACCATCGTTGACGACGATGTCCACCGTGTGCCGCGCAGCAGGGACGGTGACTTACGCGTGAATTAGTTTATAGTGATAGTAGGCTTGCAAAGCATCTACCGCCCTCTCTCCTCCCCCACCTGGACCCGGTGTCAAGACAGAGTCAAGAAGACCGGTGGCGGGGAAGGGCGAAGGTGGATGGCACGTTCGAGCTCGCACCTTGAAGCTCCACTGCGCACCTCCTGGTCCACACAGCAAATGACCAGGATTTTAACCAACAACAACAGAAGGGGCTGGCGCGGCCTGGGCAGAGGAGGAGAGAGTGCGGTAGACGCTGTGCAAGTGTACTACCACCATAAACTAATTCGCGCACAAGTCACCATGCCCGCTCTCACATCGCTGTGGAGCACGCGGTGGACACTGTCGGCTTCACTAAAAACTGGTTCGCATGCAAGTCGCCGCTGCTGCCTCAGCGACATTCATCAGCTGTGGACATCGTCACACATGACAGTTGAACTATCATCGATGATGCGAATTTCGGGTAAGATGTGGTTATATAGCACCACCTGATGGACACAAAACTGTTAGGGTTGGGGTTAGGGGATAGAGTTAGGGTTAGGTGTTAGGACAGCTATTTCTCAACCACTCAGAGTACAACCGTGCATTCCCAATAGCTTTTTTTCAACCTCCGGTTGATACCATTAGACTAAAGGCCGGTAAGATGTGGTTATGTAGCCCCACCTGCTGTACACAATACGGTTAGGGTTGCGGTTAGGATTAGGATACAAACACGCCGTCCCAATAGCTTTTTATTAGCATATAATTACCTGACCTCGTCTCCTGTAGGTTCCCAGTCCCAACCTGTAAAAACTATTACCACCGGTCCCCTATTATAGGTGGCTGGGGTTTGTTTACTTCAGGTGGGGCTACATAACCACATCTGACCACATTAAGTGTCTACAACGATCGCTTCTCAACTCTCTGAGCTGAGGTCATTGTAGATAATGCCACAGGCCGTCTACAACAGACGACCCGTCCTTGAACAATGAAACACCAAACCGAAGTAATCGTGTCAGACTAATACCCATTTAAATAAGTATAATAGGTAGAATAGTATTACCGACAAAGACAAGGGAGACTGGAATGGCCATTTCTGGCTTATTAGCCGTCGTCAGCCAGCCATACCCAAGCCCGAAGTGTGGAACACCCGAGCCTCGAACTCGCGACCTGTTGGTTTAGAAGTCAACGCCTCTACTCACCGGGCCACGAGCCCGTTGCCCTGTCGGTATTTTTTGTATGCCACAGATGCTTGGCGTCCCTCTCCCGATCCTTACCCAGTCCATATCTCTCCTCGCAAATCCAATCTTGCATTACACACTGATGAGCGTTGTCGTATAGCTTGACAAAGGACTGCAGCCTTTTAGGGTGTGGACAACTTTCAAAACCACGTCCTCTTGATGGTTCTCATAGTTTCAAACACCTCAGACCTATTATTAGTGCTGAAGTGAACGCCTGATTGGCGTGAGGAAACCAACCCCTGGCCCAGCGTCACTCCTCTAATGTACCAGCAGAAAGTTCAGGTTAGGCCATAAGGAAAAGAGATAGGGAGCAATGACGGACATGGTATAGGCTCGCATTTTGCTCATTCCACAAGCTGTCACGTCACCCATTGAAGGCCTAAACAACAGCCCGACTTGTTTTTGGATCCCCATAGTGCAAGATGCCCCTTTCCCAGCTATTCAGCATTCTGATCGACCTGACCGACTTTACCTATCTGCGCAGTTTCTCCGCGTGCGTTGTGTGACGAGTGTTGTAGCCAGCTTTCTGACCGTCCTTTAGTCTTTCACTTAGCGGTATACGTAGGTTTTTGTCTAACCTGCCGGAATGCTGGGTTTTTTCCGCACACTATGTGATTAATCGTCAGCCTCAGCACGCTAGCTGTTTCCTGTTTTCGATCTTATTTAAAAAAATTTATAGACCTTATCGCGGCGAGCCTTGCGTTTTGAGATTCTGCCTCGGAATACGTTCACTGTTGCTTCGTGATCGTGATCAGCGCCTTTTGTTGCATAGTTCACCTTTTTGTTCAATTGATTTATACGGCCGTCGGTTTGTTTTGTAAGCTTCTTTGTCTGTATCAGTGACCTGCTGGGGGAACTGCTACCTCTCTTTATGAAGCAAATTTCTCATGGCCGAAAAGGGTCTGAGACGGTGCTGTTAATTCGTATTGACCCAACTGTGAAAAACTCGACGCCTCGGTGGGATTCGAACCCACGCAGTAAGGGGAAGGCTTTAGTACAGCCAACGCTCTAACCACTTGAGCTACGAGGCCCCGCCGGACAACGCGAGTTTAATCACATTTGGGTCAAGTTACCCGCCCAACCTTCGGCAACGTCTGGAATCCATCAAAAGTGATACAGTAAGTTGACTGCCCAGTCAGGATTTCCTAAGTAATTCACCTAGAATCCACCAGATGACTACCAGGCTTACGTAATTCATAGATGTTTTGGCAGATTTTGAATAATTCATATTGACTCAAATGTGCTTAAACTCGCGTCGTCCGGCGGGGCCTCGTAGCTCGAGTGGTTAGAGCGATGGCTGTAATAAAGCCTTCCCCTTACTGCGTGGGTTCGAATCCCACCGAGGCGCCGAGTTTATCACAGTTGGATCAATATGTATTATTCAAAACCTGCCAAAACATCTGTGAACGGTGCTGTTATTCCTTGGTTGGATTATGTCAAGTACCTGTTGGATATCTGTATTTTTTTAACTGTGTTGCCAATCTAGGTCGACATGTCTCCAGGCGACCCTGTATCTATTGACGAACTTCGTGCGAGGGCTGATGCACAGCCCAAGATTCTCAACCTCCACCGTATCCGTCGACCGTCTGCAGTGGCCAACAAGGACGTCACCGAAAGCCAGTCCCGTTAATTGGCCATCTGGTCGCCGTTTCTACCCGAGCGGCGCCGTCATCTTTGTTTTGCTGTGAACCCAGCCTTATAATGACAACCATCATTTAGCCCCCTCTCCAAGCAGTCTCCGGAACACTTGGTTTCCTTTCCCGCTGATTACTTGGGAATTCTTTTCTACTATAAGAACAGTTGAGGGTGGTTTGGTGTCATTTGGTCCCTAAAGACATCATGTGCCAAATTGCACGATTTTCTGTCGCCTCCTTTTTCAACTATTTTTTCATCAACAATGCCACCATGAAACAGCCACTAAAAGGTAAATGTCAGTTTTCAGCTTTGTCTGAACGCGACTCAGATGAAGCACTTTGCGTTGGAAGTCTACGCATCACCTGCTTGCATTTCGAAGTTACGGGTATCGGAGGATGGGTCCCCACTAACCTTAGTGCTGCTAGCACATTTCGTCGTTGTCAAGAGCCACGTTTTGTAGCGTCCTTCCAACCAAATTACCGCCTACATTTCTTGTGACATAGTTATTGCCGATTGGGCAAAGTTGGGTAATAATCGGGAGATGGCACCCAAAAAAATCCGTCTAACCAAAGCAGCTTGTCTTACGGGACTGGTAGTAATAGGGGTTTTATGAGTGGTGGCTGGTCGGGATGTACGATACCAGCCGACAGAAAGCCTTATTTAAACAGGTGAATGATCGAAGTTGGCCCACTCTCTGTTCCGTTATTAAAAAATGGGTCGCTAAGGGCAGTATAGTGTTAACGGACGAGTGGAAGGCGTATTATCGTCTTCCCTCAGAAGGTTATGTACATTTCTCTGTTAACCACTCAAAGAACTTCAAGGACCATACCACCGGACGTCACACCAATGCCATTGAGGCATACTGGAGCAGGCAGAAAAGGAAACTCCACGAGGTAGGCCCTTTATGTGGTCGAGCTGGGTGGGCTCACATAGAAGAAGTACAGTATCGTCTTTGGTTTGGCCTCAATGCCATGTCTTTGACAGATGCCTGGGAACTGTTCCTGTCCCATGTTATGCAGACTTATCCTATTTAAAAGTGATTTTGTTTTGTAATAAACTGCCATAATGCGAATGCATGCCGTATATTCTAGGTAACGGATTTTTTTGGGTGCCATATCCCGATTGTTACCCAAAGTTGTTTGCCAGTCGATTCTAACCAGTGAGCTAGTTCGATTTGCCGTGCCTGTTTTTGGGGTGTTAAGTTACACCGCTCTGAAAATCGTAAGAAGGAGGTGATTTTCAGTAGCGTTAGCTGAAGTTGTCTAAGAAATGCCTCAGCATTGCTGTGCTACACTTTCTGCCGCGACTGCTTTCGGCTGGTCACTCGAAAACTTTCAGCATGCGTTATGGTGGCGTCCCTCAAAGTAATGTGTGGCAACTATGAAATGCGAATCGTTATTCGACTATTGAATCCCCTCAGGGTGGGAAAATGATTGGTCCTAGGTGGGCGTGCTCTGTGATTGGTTAATCCAGTTACGTACTCCGACAGTCGGCCACTTCCGACTTGGGTGCCAATTGACAGGTCGAAGGATCTGATAGGAGTTCGACTGAAGTTAGTGTATGTAGTTCGGGATACGAGGTCGAGCATCTTTTTCGTGGTTGACTAATCAAAGTAATCAAAACAACGGCTAGATCGCAGTTGGTAGCCAGACCCTGTATTACAGGTGGCTGGGGGGTTTGTTTACTGGGACTATTTTGTGGGGTCCCGTAATCACATCTGACCCATTTGACTTCCCTTTTACTTTTGCGTTTAGGATTAGGTTGCCGGTTAATGGTTTTCGGGTTAGGGTTATGCATTTAGGCTTAGGTTTTCGGGTTACGGTTAGGGTTTGAGCGTATGGCTAGGTTTCAGTATTACAGTTAGGTTTTCCAGTTGCGGCTTTGTCTAAGGGCTATGGTTACGTTTACGATTTCGGTCAGGGTTAGGGTTGCCGTTGGGGTTAGTGGTTGAAGTTTAATGTTGAGGTCAGGGTTAGGTTAAAGGCTAGGATTAGGGTTAAGGTCGCCATCCGCTTCGTCATTCCCGGCTACCAACTCCGATCTAACCAAAACAACAATAGATGTTTATTATTGTGGGGATTGTGCTCATGTACCAGGGAGAAAACGAGCATAAGCGACAGAAACGGTTTTCTGCAGCACACAGGTTCCAGACAGCCAAGTACCAGAAGCTGTGAGGAAGAATTGTGTTTTCTTTTGGCAACGTAACTTGTCTTTCTGAAGCACCATACGCGGTTTCCTATAGCTGCCATTTTCCGAATAGTGTTCAGGACAAATTTCACATGTATGGCTTCAATCAGCCGACTCCAGCAATACCTCCCCCACCTGCGTTCGTCGCACTCCCACAGAGAGCTATAAATGTTTTGGTTAACCGCCTCGGCGCTAACCTGTGCGACCCTCCCCCCGGTCCGCTCTATAGAATTCGGCAAGATGAGAGGGAATAGATAGGAAAAAGCAAACTTTTTCTCAAATCCATGCATTTCAATGCCATAAAAAGGTTTTATCAGCAGCAGCTTTTACAACTGTGAAACTGAAATGCAAATATTGGGGGTGGTTTTGCGGTCGTTGATTGCATGCTGTATGATAATGGCTGCTTTTGAGCGCGCAATGAGGTAAGTGAAGTCGCAAGTGCGGTCGAGTCGAGACTCCTGGTTCTTCAGACATGACCACGGTCTCCTAGGGGGGTTGAAATTGTGTGCGTCTAACTAATATTCAAAACTTTGGGAGGGGGGAGACTTGGATGCTCGTGTCCACTATTTTTCAAGAAATACCATTCCAAAGCTATGATTCACTTCCCATTTTTCTTTCATAGTCTCAGGTGGTTTTCGTCTGAAACCTGAGTGTTTTACTGTCCCGAACGATGGCGTCCATCATGCACCCCACGTAGTGATCGTAGGACGTTGGCATGTGCACTACGCGCAAAGCCTACTACACTCGCTTCTTGCCAGTAGAAGCGAAGAGACGAGTCCCAGGGAGTAGTCTTGAAAAAGACACGATCGCTGGGACAAGAGCTTTATTGACCTGACGTTTCGGATTCCTGCTCGGACCCATCATCAGAGACAAAAGCAGATACGGGTGAGTTGATGATGGGTCCGAGCAGGAATCCGAAACGTCAGGCTAATAAAGCTCTTGTCCCGGCGATCGTGTCTCCTTTTTCAACACTCCTTCCCCACCCATCTGGCTCTGATGGCAAGAAATTGGCAGGACGTCCAGAGTTGGGTTTGGACAAGATTAAACAGTCCGTCTGGGCGTGTCACGCACGACCTGGTTTCGATGACCGGTGTCAGAATTTCCTAAGGGTGTTCTGGACTCACATCAGTGAGGGAGAACGTTCCAGCCTGACTCATCGTAGTATTTTAGAGTGAATGGAACAAATAACGGTCAGATAGGGTTATGTACCCCCACCCGAGGCAGAAAAAAACCAGCCATCTGTAATACGGGACCGGTGGTAATAGAGATGTTTTTGCAGGTAGGGTCGGGGAACTCACAGGCGGCGAGGCCATGCAATTGTATGCAAAAGAAAAGCTATTTGGAACGAGCAGTTGTAACTTGAGTGACTGAGGAATAGTTGCCCTAACCCGTAACCGTGGCCCCTAACCCCCAACCCTACTACCTTAACCCAACCCCTAACCATAACCCTTCAGCCTTAACCCTTAGCCGCAGCCCTAAACCCTAATCCAACAGGATCGTGTCCATCAGGTGGGGTTACATAACCACATCTTACTCAAATAACTCACGCCATGTCACTGGTATCAACAAATTCGTCAGGCGGGTGTGCAGAATAGGCACGACAAAGTCCTCTGTCCTCTTATGCTCGGGACAGAATCATGAACTAACTACATTTCTCCTTGACTGGCAGAGGTAAGGGCAGTTTAATGTATACAGTTAAGTTCAAGGAAATCTTGAATTTCATTATCGTAGACGAATTATTCCTGAGCGGTATTTTAACTTCTACTTCAAAGATATATCTTTGAAGTTCGTCAAAATGAAGAAATAACTGTTCTTAGTTAACATTTGTCAACAAGGTTTCTTACATAACAGTCTGCTTTCGGCAAAATTAAAAGGCCGAAATGAAGTTGTTTCCCAAAAAAGATTTGAACGGACTATTTCCCACTGGAACAGGAGATCAAAATATGAAATATTTCCATAAATACCCATTAAACCTTGCATAAATCATGACGTACACATGATCCTTTGATAATCGTGAGTAAACGCACCCTCCGGTAGCGAGACGGTCACCGTACAGACTTTAAAAGCCGGCGGTTCTCCAGCCTCTATCAGCTCTGCCTTATCATCAAACCATCAGCAATGCAGACGGAAACTGTCAGATGACTTTGAATTTTGATTACTTATTTTTGTATTTAAAACGTCTAACGTTTTCTAGTGCCTCCATTTTTTTACTCCAAATGTGGCTCCGTTTGCAATGCGCTCGGCAAACCTCCCTCTGCTGTACGCAAAAGAAAATCGGTTTACCCATCCAGATTAACCATTATAAGACCGACAGATTGACCAACAAATTCCTCTGTTTCTTCACAAAATGTCATAGGCTAATGATTACATAACGTTGTGCAAACGGATCATTTGGCCACGCTTTTGAATCTGTAAGAAAACATGTTTCTCGGCAAATCCCCGAAAACACCATCACCATCATCATGATGCCGCGGAATTTAGCTTTGATATATGGCCACAGTAACGGGTGAATGGGTCGATCCAGCGAACACGCAGATCCCGAGGTAAAGGACGGAATGTGTTGAATTGTTACAGAGGAGAGGCAATTGTTGGATTAGAATAGAAAAGCAAAAAGCTACCGCAAATAAAACGGAGAGAGACCCTTAAAAACAAACTAGCGGTTCAAGGCAATAGGATATATCCAAGATTAAAGGCGTATGAAGTCTGCAAAAAGTCCTGTTGAAAAGCAGCTTTCAATTTTGCGAAGAACCACCTTACCTGCCTAAAAGAGGCAGATGAAATTTCATATGCATACGCGAGAAGTGCGTA